AACTTAATCGATTATTAACTTTTAAAAAAATAAGTCGACACATTTCGTGCAGCTGTGAAAATGCTTTTTGGTCATCTTCCGGCTATCGTTTTTTTAGAAAATAATTATAGAATTGGCATTTGAACGTTTTTACCCAAGCTACCGAGGCTGTACAACCTCCAATGATTGATGTTTATAGGATACTGGCAGATGCTCGTTGAAACAATTCAACGGTAAATATTCCTAAAAATATTGATGATTAAATAAAAATGTGCATTCAAATCAATGACTTGGATCAGAGCGTATATGCATTATAATTGTCGAGTGGGCAGTTTACAACCGTCTTTTGTTATTCCACGTGTTACTTCAGTAAGGAAAATTGCATTATGGTTATTTTCATGCAAAGGAGACTGACTGCAATGCACTGTTAGCAAAAATGTTTGGGTGCCGATGACATAGGTACATCCAGCACAGTAGAGCACCTAGATTCGCAAAGTAGCCGTGGGGATTTTTTCCGCTAGATGCCACCGTTTCTTGTCGTCGTACTGAGCGCAAGAAAATACTGCTACCGTAAAGTACACATGAAAAAAAAAAAAGACTTGATCCGTCGATTGATTGAAATAAACATTTTGAAGATAGAAATATGAACGGAAATAACGCATAAAGAGAGGAACGAGTTTTCAATATATATATGTTTGTTGTTGATTTAAATACTTTTTTTCTTTTTTCATGTTAGGGTTATATACATGCATGATTTTATTGTACCATGTCGAATAAATTGATTTGAATATATCCCCTATGACATTACTTATAGAATTAATAACTGTCAAAAAGCGCTAATTTCTCACAACAGGAATCGTTTTTGTTCTTAATTTTTTATTTCAAATTGTATGTGTTTTATTATAGCAAAGCCACACCAAGCTATCTGCTGTGTCCACCGACGGGAATCGAACCCCTGATTTTAACATTGTAAATCCAAAGACTTGCCGCTGTTCCAATGGGGGACTATTTAAAATTGGCGGTTCAGCACATACGAAGACTGACGGATCCATGGTGGTATCGATATGAAATTTTAGGAATTGCAAAAAATGAATAATTTTCTTGTAATGTTCCTCTTGAAAAACTTTTTTCAAATATATACACACATATATGTTTGTACGATTAACTACTTGGAAGGTACAGAGCTTGACAGACAAACACTGGCTATTACACACACACACACATATATATATATATATATATATAAGAAAGTACCATAAAATCCATTCGTTTTTGATACGAATATCAAATCCAGGAATCATGTAATATGAATAAACACCGCCTAGAGTCGGTTTTAGAATAATTACGATATCACCTACTGTAGTTTCATTTATTACACTGGATTAAAATATGCAAGAGGTGAAAATACCACATCTGCCCTCCTCGCTCCCAGTGGCTCAGGGGTAAGTCTGAGGACTTGTAACGCTAAAATTCGGGTTTCGATACTCGCGGTGGACAAAGCATAGCTATCCCATTTTCTAGCTTTTTGCTTGATAACAAACACACCTTTCATTATAAAACGTTTTTCGGTCAGAGCTAAATGGTTGACAGTATCAGGTAAAATATAAAGAAAGTAATTACTATAACTCGGTCTGTGGTGAAATATATAGCCTTAAAAGTATGTATGTATAGAATAATGTGGGTAAGTACGTAAAAAATGTCTGTTTTTCAAATTCAGTGTTTCTCAAATGGTGGGTCACGACCCTTTTGGAGGTCGCGAGCAGGTTTCCATTGGAGTCAGTTTTTTTTCAGTCCTCCAGGTGCACATATCACCTTTGTTATAGACTAATACGAACTGTTTTTTCATCCTTGTAGAATTAATGGGGGGGGGGGTCGCAACGACCAATGTTCGGACGCAGGGGTCATCTAGCAAATCCGGCTGGGAAACACAAGTGCTAATGATACGTTATTTAAGTTACATTTTCTTATGCATCTTTAGCTTCCAACTTATTATAAGGTCGGAATAACGGGAAATCCTTCAGTGATGATACGATCACTAAAAATTGTATACAAATAAGTAGTGTATGGTAGCAAAAAACAGTATAATATTCAACTAAAAAACGTTGATAACACACACACACACACACGCACGCACGCAAAGAAATTGCACTGTAAATATTTTTGGGTAAATTTGGACCTACTGTTCTGAGTAAAAACCTTTTAACGTGTCCGGTACCAAACTTCTATTTTGAAAATCGGGTGACAGCGATTTGTTTGTGCTATAACGTTAACCTAAAAAAGTAAATATAGTTTAATTAAACATGTATAAAAACAGAAAATGAAAACAAAAAATGTCAAAAATTAGAATCAAACACATAATACAAAAGAATGGTTTCATTGTGAGTTGTATTTCTCAAAATCGCAAGAGCTAGATGCAAATACTGACAACAGGCGACTTACAGACTAACTCATCAGCCAGATGAATCCATTGACAACAGACTGACTAGTCAGATGAAAATAGTGACAACAGACGACTTGCAGACTAACTCATCAGCCAGATGAAAATAGTAACAATAAACGACTTGCAGACTAACTCATCAGCCAGATGAAAATAGTA